TGTACATATATCACTGTAAAAAAGGAAGTTTAAAAAGTCCCACCCTTTTGATGTTGATGCCAAGCTGATTTTAAATGCCAAAAATTTTACTCCTAACTCCGGTTGCCATTAACTTTCCAAATTGTTTACAGTGTATATTTAAATTTCTTCATCTAAATCGTGTGGTTCATGTGAAACGCTTCTTATATCTACGGAAACCGATCAAATATATTGTATTGGTTTATTTTCGAAATACAAGTTTTAATGAAAAAAGTAATGGCATCATTTTTTGAAACAACAGATTCTTTTTCATTAAATTAACAATATTTTAGTTCTTGTTGTGAGTAAAATTTTTCAAGTGAGATTAATGTACAGCATAACATCTTTATTATATTATATCTTCCAATATGAATATACGAAATACTTGGTAAAGGCAGATGGAAGGAAAGAGTAGTCATCGTCAAGACCTAATTAGCGTAGCTACCTCTCACGAGCGAGCTGAGCGTTCGAATGAGTGCACGAAGTACATTGAATCGTGAGAAAGAGAAGGACGGATAAGGACGTAGGTGGTCTTGGTTGCGTTAGGAGCAAAAGGGTGTTGGAACCATTAGCGCAGATGCCTGTCCGAAGCGGCCAGAATCCTTTTATCCCAAGAACAGGGATTCCTTCCAGATTCCACTGCGTTATCATCGCGTGCAGAGCAAAAGAGAAGGAGACTGAAAGAAGAAATGAAAAGAAGATGAGATGGAAAGAAGGAACAGAGAGGAAGATAAAGAATAAAGAACCAGATTTAGCAGACTACTTTGAGTTGCACAGGCCACTCATCAGGCCTCCCACGATATTCTCTTTACAAGTTTATGAAGTTGTTCAATTCAGTCGCTCGCTTTCCAAGTCATTTCTTTTCAATCAACTTCAACTTTCAGTGTATGATATATAGAGCAGTGAAAAATTACATATACGACTGGAATGCACTGAACAAAAGACGACGCACTAATCATATAATTAGTCTAGGTGCAATAAATTAATATAGCAACGGTAAAAGCTGTGACTCATTTGCACACCAATTCCCAGTATTATGAAATTGTGATCAAATATTTTTAATTTAATATTTAAAAAATACTCTATTACTCACGTAAAACACCAGATCTTGGGTCTGTAAATATACGTGGTAAAAAAGCCACGCAGATATCTCGCTTGATTAGAACTATATAGATATACTACAAACCAGTGTTTTAAGAGGGATTCCTCATGAAATAAATTTTTTTGGCTTTTTGATATCCTTATAATGTGTCTAGAATACAGGTTTCAAATTTTATGACGAAATTTAACTCCTAACAAAAGTTACAGCACAATATATGTACATATTGTAAAAAAAAGCTATAGATTTTATGGATTTTAACTCCCGACCGGGCTCTATAAAAATCCCACTCTTTTGGAGTTGAAGCACAGGGATGAGTTAATTCTTAGAGTTAATCTAATGTTGACTCACATTTGGAGTTGATATTAACTTTAAAAATTTTACTCCCAACTCCGGTTACTATCAAATTCTAAAAAATTTTACATAGTGTATGTATACCTATGTATAATCAAATAAGGGAAAATCTTTAAATACGCGTTCTTCAAATGATTGACATTAATCGGATGGCTATTTTTTCTTTCTTTTTTATGCATATTTTGAAAAAATATGTCCTTTAGTATTTATACCTACAAAATTAAAAAAAAATTATTTTATTTTTAACTAGAAAATGGCGAGAAAAACAGGACATTTTATTCAATGTTTTGGAAAAATGTGTGTAATTTTTTTAAATTTTGATTTTTCAAGGTAATTGTAGGTAAAAGCACTACAATTATTGAATCTTAAGTTTTACCTGTCTTTTGAATTTTTTTACCAATAGGGAGGGCGACAGACTTTGTAGGTACCGCGAAGCACGTTAAGAATAAAACGTCGCGTTTATCGCCCTTTACATTCTAACAAAATATACCAAAAATTTTTTTGTTAATGATTTTTAGTACTTCAGACTGTCCTTTTTAAGGGGAGAGTCTGGTGCAGCCGAGGGTTTCATCCAATGTGTTTTTTCAATAAAATTATATATTTTTATTACATAAAATTTTTTTACACAAAAAGAAACATATGTAGAAGAAAACTTAAGAAAAATTATTTTTTATATAAATATATGTATATTAGTGTCAAGCCTAAGGGGTAAGCGAAGTAAATCGGTTGAAAATTTGATAACACAGAAAAAACTTGGACTCATTTTTGTTGCAACTCATTTTCTTTTGGGTATCGAAATGAATATGGGACAAACTTCATGTTATTCAAAATGATATTGGCTGGAATTTCAGATTTCTAAGTTGGCATCATAAGCAGAGTAATTTTGTATTTCAATTATTGTTTCTAATATTTCAACAACACCAGAAAGATTATTTTGACCAGTACGAATATTTAGAAGTTTTTAAATAAAAATTATTTATTATTATTTACGTAGATAATAATTAATTTCATAAGTTTTTAAATTTACCGCTATTATTTAAGTTGGCAGTACCGTTCCTGTTGTCAAAACACATGTTTTCATTTTTCTAACCTAAAAACATATTTCCTTTATTATTTTATTACGCGATTACAAGCAATTTTTAATCAAATATATTAAGTCTAGCGTGTTATTTACTTCTTTGTAATTATTATATTTCATGTTTTTGTGCAAAATTATTCGTTATTTCACAATATTTTTCCATTTTTCTTTTTCTCAAAATGAAACTTGCCTGTTTCATTTTGATACTTTTACCTTAGAACTCGAAATGAGACAACCAGTTTCATTTTTGTTGCGAATCAAATTGAGTATAGAATCTATACTCAATTTGAATTCAGGTTTTTTCTGTGAAGCTATAAATCCCGCCAATTTGAAAAACATAGTTTCGAGAAAAACGCGTTTAAAGTTTTCGGTTTTTGCGGTATACGTACTTGATGCACTCCGCTTATAACAATATTTAACTATATTTGCAGTTCGAATTTGTTAAAACAATAACACAGGCACACAAAAAATAAAAAGTTGTTTGGCCTAGACACTACACTAGTCTATTTTCATGTATTTTTTCACGCTGAATCCGAATCCGAAGTCAGAATTATCAGATTGGCTCTTATTTTTGAGATAAACTCAAAAAACTGCTCCGAAAGAAAAATAAAAACAAAAAGTTAAAAAATTTTTGAATGTCACTGCGATAGTGTAATTCCATGTATTTTTTGTCGCTGAATCCGAATCTAAAGTCAGAATTGTTAGATTCGCTCAAATTTTTGAGATAATTGCAAAAAAACACAAGTAACAAAAAACTCAAAATACTCAAAATCAGTTTTTTGGAATTATCTTCAAAATTTGAGCCAATCTGTCAATTCTGACTTCGAATTTGGATTCAGCGTGAAAAAATACATGAAAATGCACTATCGTAATGTTTCGGCAAAAAAAAATTTCTTTGAGCTAAAATCGCCAAAAACTGATAAAAATTCTGAATTAGGGGCACAGATAATTTTTTTTGCCGAAACATTACGATAGTGCATTTTCATGTATTTTTTCACGCTGAATCCGAATTCGAAGTCAGAATTGACAGATTGGCTCAAATTTTGAAGATAATTCCAAAAAACTGATTTTGAGTATTTTGAGTTTTTTGTTACTTGTGTTTTTTTGCAATTATCTCAAAAATTTGAGCGAATCTAACAATTCTGACTTTGGATTCGGATTCAGCGACAAAAAATACATGGAATTACACTATCGCAGTGACATTCAAAAATTTTTTAACTTTTTGATTTTATTTTTCTTTCTGAGCAGTTTTTTGAGTTTATCTCAAAAATAAGAGCCAATCTGATAATTCTGACTTCGGATTCGGATTCAGCGTGAAAAAATACATGAAAATAGACTAGTGTAGTGTCTCGGCCAAACAACTTTTTATTTTTTGTGTGCCTGTGTAATAGGAGAGCATTCTCCACATGTTTAGAAATATATATATTTAAACAATAAAAAAAATTGATTTTTTCGACCACATGGACCAGACTCCCCCCTTAATGTGTAAAAAGTTTTTTAAAATTTTATAATAAAAATAAAGTGAATCAGAAAAAAATTTTCAATTTTTCTGCATTTTTCAAATTTTTCATAATGAATCCAAATAGTTTTAAACCAAATATGAAAATTAATGCGTGATTTAACATTAAACTACTAATTTACATTTTACATTATAATATATTAATTATTTTATTACTCGTCGTACAATTTATGAGAATTCATTTATTACCCGTGCAGAAATTGCCACTTTTCATCCCGATTACCGACCTAGCCCCAATCCAATTTCCTGTTCTGGCCCCGGGTTAGTAAATTACTATGGGCCCGACCAGGGCCAGGCCTGGTTGCTATATTTAAAATTTAAAAAAAAAATAGTGAAAATACATTTACAGCATTTTATGACATTTTTTAATCTCTAAATTTGAATTAGTAAAAATGTTTATTAATTTGAATTAGTGACTCACTTTTTGCTTATGAATTAGTAAAATTTTACTAATTATTAGTAACTTTTACTAACAATTAGTAAAATTTTACTAATTCATAAGCAAAAAGTGAGTCATTAATTTAAATTAGTAAACATTTTTACTAATTCAGATTTAGAGAGTAAACAAAACAATTATTCAAATAATTTTTTCAACTTTTATTTCATTTTCAAAAAATTATTTATATATTCAAATACGATAAAAATACAGAAAAAACTGAACTCAGAATGAGTCGTGTAGGTGGCTGATTTTGATGTGCAACAAAAATGAGTCAGGTTGGTGGCGCCACTTTCTATGTCGTTTAGCATTGACTCATTTTGAGTTGCAACAAAAATGAGACTAGGTTTTTTGTGTGAATGAAATATGTACCTATAATATTATATTTTATAATTTCTTCTTTTATAATTTACAAGCTGAAATGTGTGAACAAATAAAAAAGAATTAAGATGTGACTATTAAGAATATTGGATAGGAATCTAAAAAAACACATTAATATAATTTCTTCATTTTTATTTCCTTTAAGAAATAATTAATTGCCTTTTTATTTTGTGTATTGTTAAATATATTTACAAGCCAACTGGCATGGAGAATATTATATGTCTATATACACATTTAATTCCTTTTTAACATCACTATGTACAATTTTGCACTTATATTACTACTTGGTTTTTTACTTCTCGTCAAATAAATTAATTCGAAAGTATCCTTTTGGTTCACATATCGCAGGACACATTATAGACTTGAAGTTTCTTAAAATAAAAGCCGAATGCGAAACTACAATAAGATATTAACAATCGTATATACAATGGCAACTCGAATATTTAGTTTTCGAGACAATTACTCTCTTAATGCTTAAATTATAATGTATAAAATGCTTTCCCGTTCAGTCTTTAGTACGCGTCTATAAACATCGTAATAAATAGTTATTTATTTCGTATAATACTGGGCATTGTTGGAGTCTGAGTTAACATTAAAAACTCTTCTCCTTATACTAGCTATGTGTCATTACACTTTTGACTCAAGTTGTACAATAAAATAATAATAATAATAATAATAATAATAATAATAATAATAATAATAATAGTAATAATAATAATAATAATAATCTCGAAACCGATTTAACCGGTTAATCTCGTCTGCTTTATATAGACTATGAAGCGATACAATTTATCTCTACATTGACTTTGCTGTATAAATATATATTGTTTTTACTTTTTTCTCTTTTTTTGTCATCAGAAGTTAAAAGAGACAACGATGACACAATCTAACCTCATAAACAAGTATGTACCATTTTCTTTATCGCACAAACGTCGCATTTAACTTCACAGCACCAATGAAATACGCAATTACATCTCTCTATAACAATAATTTCTTGTGATTTATACCCTCTGCCACAGCACATGAGGTCACAACCGTCAACACCTATGCTAGTGTCATTACACTGTCTTCCATGAGTACCAAGAATACCTAGTTTAGAGTTCTTTTCACAAAATGGCGGTGAAGATTCAAGGTACACCAAATCTTTTTGCCCCGGAGGTTTGTGTTCTGGATTATATGGCTTTAATTGAAAATTATATCTATGTTTCCTCCCTAAACCATGCCCATGAACTGAATTACTGGCTGAATTGCTCATAATCGCATTGCTATTATCACGCAATCTATCCGAGTTACTAATCATCACTCTGGATGCACCATCAAAACGATCTTTAAGATTATCACCTACTACTCTGAAGTTTGGTAACCTCATCCAGCAAGTCTTTACTGTACAGGAACCAGACATACCATGACACTTGCACTCTTGATGCATTCCTGCAGAAACGTGCTGCAACGAAAAAAGCACATTTATAATTTTATCACATAATCAATATGTACAAATATTTATAGAAGCTAATCGCATTATAGTGGTAAAGTGAGAATTTCTCAATTTCCTTCGTGAAATGTCAAGCCTAAATATATATCACGCGAAGAGCGAATCACACTCAGGGAAAAAATTCATTTGACTTAAACAAACAATTCAATTTACTTACTTTATTTGTGTAAACATAAATTCCATTCCTCATTAAAAACGCATGGAATTTTGAGCCAGGGACCCAATGGATAATATTCGCTAGTATATATACAATTATTGTTACTTTTAAGTATAGCAAGTTTTCAGATTTACTTAAGACAATTTTGAGGTTTTTATCGCATTTCAAGATGTCAAAACTTGTTGCACAAACATGTAATGCATACCAATGTAATTTCGGTGCACTGTTGGGGCAATGCAAGATTAAAAAGTTTCGGCTTAGAGAAATATATTGCATATTGACCCGCAATGTCCACTTTTTAATATTGCATCGCAAGATTCAACAACTTTCATGGTTTCCTCGAGCTTCCCCCGCGTGCGAAAGTTCTCGTAAAATAGACTGAATATATGAACTGAAAATGTGGGGTGGGACTGTTCGAATTTTCTAACAATTTACAAGTATTATTTAATAATTAATTCAATTGCCCATCCTCATCATATTTTAGATTTCTCCACAAAATTCCAGCTCAATCCATTAGGTATTTTACGAAAAATCTGCCGGCAACCAAATTAACAAACCATATGTACGGAATTATTGAGGCAAGGCTCTCTAAATTTGAATCAGTGGAATGCTGAATGATTTGCAGCTACTTTTGGGTGCAAAGCTTTTGTTTTATATGAAATACTTATTTTTAGTATTATTTTGGCTTTGCAATTTATCACGATGCACAAAACTAAAATAAATAAATGAATGAATAATACAAAACTAGAATATATGTTCAAAAGTTGAAGCATGAAATAATTTTTAAATAATTAAATAAAGCATTTAGTAAATCTGAAATAATTAGGTAAACATAATGAGCAACATTTGTTTATTTTTATAGTCAATTTATGATTCTGGATTTCATTTTCATGAGAGTCATAATTGTATTCTTCTCTCATCCGCATAGAATAATAATTTGGTTACTTCAAATGATTTTTTCCTGAGTGCGTATAAGATAGATAGAAACTTACTGCTCTGCCAGCTTCATTATTATGCAGATTCATCTTCTCTCGCAAATTTCGTCCACGTTCACCGGTGTCAACAAATTCTCGAGAGAATTTAAATCCATAACCAATATTATCGGAGCATCCTCCCCATTCCCAATCCCGAATTGTTGAAGGAGCTCTCGATTGGTGTGTATAATCACAAGAACAAGATTGGATACTTCCCTCGCTGCACGCTCTTGCAATACTGTGTGTTACTGCAGCACTAGTAATAGCATAAATAAAAGCTGTCTCTCGGCATCCTGAAACAAAGTAATTAGGTATTGATTTATTTAAAAAAGCAATTTTTTGCAAAACATAGTTTTATTAATCCTACTAACTGTTTTTGTAAATTAGTCTTTCATGTGTACATGCTGCTGGTTATAATAGAAAATTTTCTCAACTTGTAAATCTAAAAATGAAATACTCTTAAAAATACGAGAAACGCCGTTGCGTGATAATCAGAAAATTTGACCTGGGTTTGCGCATAAGATGTCTATGAAAAAAATAAGAAATCACGCGCGGTTACATCTTATTTTTCAAGCGAAGGTGGGCCGCATCTAATTTCGAGCTGAGATCCGCATTCGTCACAAGATAGTCTTTTGACGGTAGCAGGTCTTTCTTTTTGAAAGTAGATGTATTAAAAATGGTAGTAGTATACTTATATTTGTAAAAGAAAAGAAAAGGAAGAAAAAGAACTATGTCAAACGATTTTCTTAATCTCTATACATAAGAGTAATCTGGTGTGTGAAACATTTAAACCCATGGAAAAGGAGAGAGAGAGAGGGGGGGGGGGAAGTCAAGTAGAATAGTTAGCAGTCAGTGGCCATCAGTGAGTAGAATAAGAAAATCATCATAGAAATGAAAGTTCTCGTCCTATACACTCGCTTAGGTATAAAGTGACAACTACATTTTAAAATTTACGCCGTTCCGCTTTGTTATGTCTTACAGAGCAATCCATCCGTTAAATTTGACTGGTTCCAGATATTGTTTGAAATGATAACTGAATTTACCATGACCGAGACAACTTATGACAGGGTATAATACTGAAATGGCATTCGATTATTATCGAATGCCATTTATATTATGAAAAAATATACAACTTCTTTTAAAGAATGTTACTAAAAAGTTTGGATGCTAAAATATGTATAAATTTGACCTCAGAAATCAGGTATGAAATTCTTAAAAATATATATGAAATTTTTATTCACTTTTAAGTAGAAAATATATATAATAAATATTTTAAATATATATATATATATATATATATATATATATATATATTGCATTAGACCATTTTTTATAAATATCTTCTTGTCTGCGCGCACGTCGAATATAGAGTGGTGGACCAAAAGGTTAGTGTAGATCGTTGGAGTGAACTATAATTACTTTAAGCCTATAAGATTAAAAAAAAGTAAATTATAATTTAGTTCAAATCACAAATAGTTGAAAAACGCTTCTAATATGTAATATTCCGCATGTTCGCAATCACTCTTCATTCACAGGCGCACAATAAATAGTTTGACTTTATCAATGTGTTCAAACAAGCATGCAAGAGGAGGTGCAATGCGAGCGAGAGCAAACATCATAGCTGGAAATTCCGAACGAACCGGTATAGAGGTGTACATATAATGCTTGACTTGTCAACAGGTGTTTCAGAGGTTTTATGTCAGCCGACATTTATCGGTCGGTACCTAAAGCTGAGGCTTTAGCAAATGTCTGTGAATATAAGCCCTATTAATAACCTCTCTGCTGGCTTTTATCACGCTAAAAATTTCACGACTCACGATCTGTCCTTCTCTCTTAATAATTATGTCTTGGTTAAGTTGGCAGGTATAAAAATTGACCATGTAATTAAATCTTTTCAATTATTAACATATTTTTAAACAATGTTCTACAACTATCATTAATAGATGCAAGAAAATTAATTTAGTGTGATAATTTGTTAAATTAATTATCATAAAAATTGAGAAATTATTAGAAAATGTGATTTTTCGATAACAGATTCTTCATCATATTTTAGACTTCTCCACAAAATATCAGCTCAATTCTTTGAGTATTTTATGAGAAAAGTAAATTAACATTGAGGCTATCAACAATAACAAAATCAAGCATATCTTTAAAAACAATAATAATTATAAATAGATTGCTTTCATTTAGAAATTTTATAAAATGAGACGAAAAGACAATAATTTACACAGAGAAAAAAATATAAATACAACTCAATGAAATTATGACGAGTTGGCAGATGACAGTTCTTATTCATCAACATTTTCAGAGTTTAAAATTTTTTTTCTTGAAATAAGGATAATGATATATAAATTTTGCATTCAGCTCTTATGGATATATAGCATATTTCTCTTCATTTTATTATATATATATATATATAAATTATTTGATTGATGAATTATCGCACATATAAAATAATACAAGTGATAACAACTCATTCAGTTAACACTTTCTTTAAATAACGTGCTTGTCACCACGATCCAAACAACTCTATTTCCGTCGACTTATGTCTCTTTTTCCTTCCTGCCTTTGTAAATATGAGAAGAACATATTCCAAGCCGGATTGAGTTTTCAGCTTAGTCCAAGCGAGTGACCTCTATCTCGTTGCTGGTCAAGATCGCCCTGAGCGACATCGTGAAACAACTTTATGGAGATAAAATCGCCAAAAATTATTGCTACCGCCTATGTCAGTACTCTCTGACAAGCATATAGAGGTTGTTTTTTTAAAAATGACAATATTTATTAATAATCTTCTCACCGCAAAATTTTATAAAGATTATGTCGTGCTAAGTTAAATGATATATACCTAATTTGATGAGAGCACACAGAAAAAACCTCAACTCAAAGTGAATAGATCAATCAGACTCAATTTGAAGTGCAATAAAAATGAGTCAATGCTAAACGACATAGAATGTGACGTCATCATACTGACTCATTTTTGTTGCAATTCAAATTGAGTCTGCAATCAACTCATTTTGAGTTCAGGTAATTTCTGTGCAATTTTGATAAGATGTAGAAAATGAAGAAAAATTCTTACACATTAATATAAGATTATTTTTAAGTAAAAGCAATGTGCAATTTTTTCCGTACATGATCCCTCTCGATTAAAATGAGACATATCAAGATCATTTTGAAGAATATAATTCTGAAGTGAAATGTGTATAATTATCAAAGATTATAATTTCAATGTTATTTTCATTTATAAATATAAAAACAACGCATAAGTTGAAAGAATGTTGTGTGTTTCTTGAGTAACTATAAGGATCGTATGGAGCTCACTTTAAATTCGACTCACGTTTTCATAAGAAACTGGCGTGTCGTTGACACATGTAGCACATCATAGACGTCGATTTATAGCTGTGTAACGCCTCAATAAAAACCAGCCGAGTTCCATATAAGACATGTCTTTATGTATGCGGTTCAGTTAAACACTGATTGAACTTATTTTTTAAATGATACGTATTGATTAAATCAAATATATTGTAAATTTGCTTCAAAATTATAAATATTAAAAATTTATAATAAAATTTAGCAATGTAATTTTGGCTAGAAGTCTAGATGTGAAAATGTAATTATTAAACAATTTAAAAAAAGTTTTGATTAAGTAATCCCAACGACACCCAGCTTACGAAAATACTCATTGTGAAAGTCTTTTGTACTTTTGTACCTATCCAGAAATATTTAAATTATATTATATATATGTATATATCACACTGAGGAAAAGTTATTTTTATAATTTAAATATAATAATGGATTTTATTGCTTTCTTCAACTTAATTTAGTTTAATTAGTTAATTTATTTCAAAAAAAATCTTATTATGATTTAACAAAAAATAATATGTTTAAAAACTTTACTCATTAAAAATATATCTAATTCATATTTGATTTTAATTTACAAATAAAATATATATATTTATAATTAATTATTCACACTTGACAAATATGAAATATGTTTAAATTTTAAATTAAATAAATATTTGTTCCAAAAATATCTTTCTCTTGGCGCAAACTATAAAATATCAGCATTTGTCAATACGAGATTGTGATTGAAAAATTCATACGGTGCGTTCAAACACTATATGTATATATTATAGGTGTATGTATGTACCGTGTTACTTGCAAAATATGAAGTGAGGAATTACATATATATAAAATGTTCACTTACTGAGCGATTGGAGTGCGCATGGATGTTTTAGGGGTAATTATTTTCATAAAAACCACGTACAAAATTTACTACTCATCTGACTTGAACGTATTTTATATATTAAAAATAGTCAAACTTTCTGTCTAAGCGCAGCTAAAAAATAAATCCGATTTAAGATAGACAAATTGAAATTAACAGATTTTAAGATAGCTAAATTTGAGGTGAAACATCTTTTCAATAATATGTTATAGTTTATATTTTAAAACAAAAGTACAAAAGTACTCCAATTTATTTGCACACGGAAAAACTTTGTTCAAGAATTATTCCTAAATTTGTTCAGGAACTGAGGATATGAAAATAATTTAAGTAATCTTATTAATATTTCTTTGAAAAAATCTAAGCGCTAATTATATAAGAATTGCAGAGAATTTCAAGATAACTTCCTAAACTTACTACAGAAATTCTTGAACTCGTTTTAGAATAATTTTTTACGTTTGCGAGAAAAAAAATTTACTGTATGAGTACTCGAACCCACGTCCTCGAGACTCCAAAATCTCCCCCTTAAGTCTCTCAGCTACCTTAGCAGCTTATGGTATTATACATTGGAAACATATTTGACGCAACCAATCTCTGTCTAGCGCTTGGTTACTGTACTACGTCTTCTAAAACAGTTCAAGAATCTTTCAGAGCCCAGTGACTGCGAGATATTCCGATCGCGACATTAACAACAAGTCTTTCAAATTCATAATAAAAATACATGTATTTTCTTGAATAATTTTTTTACTTTTCTGTAAGTTTTGAAGAATTTTTCTCATATCCTCAGTTCCTGAACAAATTCAGGAATAATTCTTAAACAAAGTTTTTCCGTGTGCAGATTTTAAATAACGTGCTTTATTCTTAAAATAAGTAAGTCAACTTTTTAAAGCACTCAACATATATAAATAAACTCTATGCTCACAGTATTCGCACAGTGCCACCGTTTGCAAGGTGATAGATTTTCCCTTTGCAAATTTAACGGATCGACGGTTACCTCGCCACCACTTGGTTCGCGACCCTCGCTTGTCCAACTACTATTCGTCCGTAAATCTAAATCAGAGATACCACCAGCAACCATTATACTGCTGAACAATGGGATGTTTTTGTCGCACGTGAAACCAGTCTATCTTATCGTTCTTTACGACAGGGTTATAAACCTTTCTACTTGCCGCATCCTTAACTTTCGCAGTAAATTAAAAAATCCATTTTCCAGATCAATTCATAGCAGAGAAATGGAAGCTATTTACGAAACAGATATTAAATAACAAATTTAAACAAAAAGAAGAGAGTTTTTTATCTCACCTCGATCGACGATTTTGCCAAAGAGATTCTTTCCCCTAAGAAAATTCTTAGTTGAACAATTCCATCGACGGTTACGAAATTGATGCTGGCATTCTAGGATAGCCTGCTTAGCACCCCTCTTCACTGCACTAAGAACCCCAGGGTTTTCTCTCGCAAGTCTTCTCTGCTTTCTTCTGAGCGTTGCGTAAACTGCTGGTTCAATATGCAGAGATGTTGGAGACATTGGTAATAGATTATTTGGCTCTCCAGCTTTTGCAATACCCCTGAAAGATAATTTACTTTTATTTTCAAATTTATCGCTTTATTTATATTTGTTTTCTTTCGTTTCTACTTTTAAATTTTCTCAGTTGCAATTAATATAACTCGTCCGTATAAAATAAAAAAAATATATCGCTGCAGACTTAACAGGATAAGATCCTCGAAAAATTTAACGCGTTCATTCGCAACGCGCGGATGGATAGTTTTTTTATTTATGGGTGTCTGCACTTGAAGAGAAGTAGTTGCTATTGCCTTATGTGTTACAATTAGAGGGGAATGAATTGTTCGAAAGTGAACAGATGCACGACTACTGTTTGAGGGAGAGTTTTAAAATGCTTATAGCGGCTATGTACTAATGAAGAGGTTGGAACGTGAATTTCAACAAATTTAACTATCTGCATTTTTTAAAAGATCGCCGAAAGCCACGTTTCTCACAAATAATAATAATAATATTTTAAACGTGATCATTGTAAATAAATATACGTCAAGAATAGTTCATTTTTTTATTATACATGTACATCAAAAATTACTTGCCAAAACAATAATAATATACATATATTAAATATATATTTAAAAGTGGTCTTTAACGTACTGTGGATATGCGCATTTGCTTACTTTTAACGTGGGATGTTTTAAATATCATTAATAAATATTGACTAGTTGCGCGCATTGCACTTTCGCCTATCCACCGCCTAACCTCATATTTCACTGTTTTAAAATAACAAAAATACTATTGTAATCATGCTTTTGTTACATTATGTGCACCTTAAAGGCACATAATTTCCTTATTTTGCGTCGAGTAAACCTTTACAATACACGAGTTGAAGACAAGAATCGCAAGGCGCAAAACGGCTTAGTTTGTCTCCTTGGTACACAAATGTTCTGAATCAAGTTTCAAATCGCAATATAAACTGCGTAACGAAGTTAAGAGCCTAAATTTATTTTTTTTAGCTCGGATCTAAAGTACAACAAACTATAAAGTCATAGTTTTGAATCAACCTAAAATTAAACTCAAAAATCCGCGACAGAAAGAAAAAATCAAGAAAGGGAATATTCAATATAGATATATATTAATTAAATGGATTAATATGGGTGTACAGTTTTAATCAGGTATAGGGATAATGTGTTGTTTTAATAACACACATATCACACTCATCAGTTAATACTTTCGTTTCGAGTTGATAAATAAATTCTCCTTTTTACAAATACGCGCGTTAAACAGAACTTAAGTGTTCTATAATTAATCAAGAAGAGTATATACAAAAATGAAGAAAAATTGCAGTTGTATATATATGTTTTCGTGCACATAATTATAACATTGACTTTTTATAAAATATGTACAAGTTAACCATTTCCAATTATTTCTTCAGAGACTATAAATGCGTACACACATATCATTATAATATATATTATGTTCAACATTCAACTAAACGTAATGCGACCCTCTCTGGTTGCAAAAGGAATCATTCATCAACTCAACGAATCATATATTAGCAGCGTGCTTCTTTTAATGTCGCCAGATCTGATTCTATACTTTAAAAGAAATGCAGGATTACTTGTAAATCGATCGCGGAAAGAATTCGAACCATCGAAGAAGAATGGAATAGGTCCTTCGTTTTTTACGCTTCACTTCTGATGCTTTATGGAGTCGTTCGATTTTTTTATGGTTTACCCCTTCGACCATCGTTGTACTCATGGCATACAGTACCTGCACATAGTCGTTGTAAAACCTAAACAGGACTATACGTGAGCATACATACACCCACGTGTACGGACATTCGTTCGGTTACACAACTTTACGAAACCTCTAAACTCTGTAATATCCACTGGCACATGTTCCTGGACGTTTGTGGAATCAGCACATGTACATGCTCTTATACGATCCATTCAATAAGTATTATGTCCATAAATAAATCGTGCTCTGGACCGGTTAGGATATCGGTTGTAACTCACGTTGGCTAGTGAATCTCCTAAAGTTGCCTCATCCGCACACTCTTTTCTTCATTTTTCTCATACTTCCTATCAGGCGATTTATTTTCATTTCAATATATTCTTAATGTCAAATATAACCTGGTAAAATTAAATATCATTATATTTCGATATCCTAACATTTTTTAAAAAATAGATCAACATACGTTCTGAAAAATAAATAAACTGCCTTTGTTTTCAGACATTGTACACGTACACTTAAAAAAAGTGATTTTCACTCCAAAATAAGTATGTACGCAATTATTTCATGGGTGGAAGACTTTTTACATATATTCTATGTGAATTTTCACTTATTTAGATTTAGAAGGTAAGATATTTAGATATATGTGAATTTTAATGAGTGTAAGATATATAAAGTATCTTTCATCTGTTACCCGACTACCATCAGAACGTCCATCCGAGCGCTCGACGATTTATTATACTCAGTTTCGTGAGAAAATCGACCATATAAATATATATCTGCAGTATAAAATTTATATATAAAGTATGTTTGTAACTTATTTGGACTTTATACTTTGACTCAAAAAACTATTAGAGAAAATTTTCCTTTCATCAATAAAAATCCGTAAAGTAGGGTCTATGTTACAATTGAAAGTTATTGATATAGTTATATATATATATGTACATACTTTTTGTACTCTACTTTCTTACATCTGTATAAAATTCACAATTTCAAAACAAAAATTTGAAAAGATCTCCTTAAATTTTGATTGAAACACTGTATAAGTATCTAAAACTAAAAAATAATATATATATAAAAAAATATAGTATTTAATATACACATACTGCATGTTCAAGAACCGGGCAAGTCCACATATAGTCACTGAGCATTGTCGACAAAGTCCAGTTATTCACAGAAAAAACCCGTAAACCGAAAATAAGAATATATTCTTGGCGCATATTTAAGAATATTTTATACTTAAATTTAGTATATTTTATTCTTAAAATGAGAATATGTACTATGTGCCGCATTGTCCACTTATTCTTGGGCAAAGTTATAAATGCCTTTACGATATGTATACATATCGTCATTTTTTACTCCTTTTGTTATATATTTATCTTTAATTATAATTAATTCGAAATTAAGAAAAAAAAGTAAATTTGCAAAAAAAAAATTTTCTAAAAAAATGAATTTTTCCCATTACCTTACTTAAGCTCTTACTTGAAATTCAAATAAAATTATATAATTTCTATTTTCTTTAAATATTTTTTTTATTTTGTCAATAGTTCTCGACAGATAAACATTTTACAAAGTATTTAAGACATAAAAAAGACTTACAGCTTCTTTAGCATTAAAATATTTAATAATAACACAGTTAGATAATAAAACACTATATAGATTCTTTGCAATATATACTCTTGAATCAGCGGAAAATCCAGTTATAAGTATGCAGCTGATTCAAGCAGCGTATATATATATTGATAATTAGTGCATATATACACTATTTCAAATATACGCTGTTTCAATCAGCTGCATACTTATAGCTGCAAATTACACTGAGAAAGCTGGAGGTTTGAAGTGAACATTTGGAGGGATAAAGAGTTTATATTTGAGAGTTAGCTATTGGAAAATAATCTAAATAATGAAATACACCATTCACAGATATATTTAAGCCATTTCTCCTGGAGGGAAAATGAGTTCATGGCAAAGGGACAAATTATCAATCTTGAGAAATCCCTTTCTTATCGTACACGGAACGAATAAATATGGCAACCTAACCCCAAAATTCAGTCTATTCGATTGAGAAATAAATACGTTCGCGCATCAGCGCTAGTTCACACTTTCTGCGCAGCATTTAACCCTCTAAATATAATAAAACAGAATATACAAGCAGATTTCTTTTATCTATTCAAAAATCATTCTAGAAGGACTATTAAACTCTCTTTAATAATAAAGGAAAACATACATTTGTTGAACCTCTGAATTTGAATCTCCAGTTTTCTCAGTGTAGCGACGTTTCGCTGATTCGAATTTAGAGAGTATAAATATATGAAACAATATTAAATTTTATACCTAAATCTTCTTAAATTTTCAAAGGAATAAAGAAAAGCCATAACGAGGTAACGAAAACTCTCTTACCTGCCACAATTCTCCCATTATCCCAAAGAATTTACGCAGGCCACAATTTAAAAAAAAACATAAACAAATTTCATTACTACCTCTATTTTTATTCATGTATCCAAATCTACACATATATTTATCTTTAATATAATCACAAAACATAATTAAACAATAATATTTTAACTTTTTACTTTGATCCTTAGAAATATTTTTCATTTAATAACGAAAATTCGAAAACTTGATTTTTGTTTGTTGTTTCCAAAAATCTGTCAGAAATGTAACCGCTTGTCTTCGTATGACATAAACAAAGATCTTCGAAGTTCTCCGAGTTATTTCCGCGAAATTCAAAGTTTCTAAGTACTTGAAATTTAAAAGCAGAGTATACTTATAGGTTTCATCCATTTCTTTTGCCCATTTACAGAAATTAAGTCAAATTTTTTCAAATATCTGGAATCGTTCGAGTCCTTTTTGGATTTCAATTTTAAAACATCCACTTTTTTCACACATATACACATCTTTATACATTTCACAGATATTTGACTTAAAATTTCATCGAAAAGGTTTTTTTTTTAGATTTCCATTTCGCGTATGTCGTCAACTATCGGTATAGTTAATTGCAAACTGCTTAAGATCTTAGGACAGTTTTCTAAATTTTTTTTCAACGTAGGATCATCTAGGAGTATATATACGATGAAAGTATAAGAGTATATACAGAATTTGCGTATATAATTATCAATAATTTTCAAAAAATGTAAACCTTATAATTTACGCCTTCTCATGAAAGAAAGGGAAATTTACTCTATACTTTTTATAGTTAAAGTAGGGTCTAAATATATATATATATATTATAAACTCTAGAATATAACACATGTTGACAATTTTCCTCTATGAAAACTTATGGAAATGAATCACGGAAGAATTATTTTGAACAATGTGAAATTTGCTATTAATATGTATTTACTCAAGTTGATCTCTGATCATTGTCCATGCTCATTATATTTTATAAATTATCACAAAATTTCAGGTCATTCCATTTTACCAGAAATCCAGCCAACAAATTAGCACTGCATTGATCACATGAACTTATAATCATACAGACGCGTTAGTCGAGTATATACATATATATAGCGCGTGCATCCGAACGAAAATAAAGTTTTTTGATCTGGGGTTCAATTTTGTTCAAAAACGTGAATTTGTATAAAATTGAAAAAATAAAAGTGTTAATCTATAGAACTTTATATCAATGTTCTTTATTTTGACAATTATTACAAGAGGCCGCAAATTCGGCCTTAGGGTTCAATAAAGATGACCCAACTTAATCTAGATTTTAATCAACCGTCGGGTAAACTGATGCAATAAACAAATTTTACACGACTGTAACTAACTTTAAAGTTTTACGTTGGCCAAACTATATAGAGTGATATTTGGTCCAATCGTCGGCAGAACTATATATACTATCCTTTTTTACTGTGAGAAATTTTTAATCCTCATCCATAAGTGCAACATTTAACGATTCAAAGAGTTAAAAATAAAATTGCTCATACTTTTACTGAAAAACTTTTTAATTAAAAATTATAACTTTCTTAAAAATACAAAAATGTGAAATTGAGATGAAACTTCTTAAGGCTACACAGCCTGAATTTAGTAATTTAATTTTTGCATGCGCTGTGAGTTTTTTTCTCTACCCTTCGAAGCATTTACTCAACTTGATGTTAATCTGATAATCCATATTAATTTTCTAATGTAATTTCGGAGAGACTCATCTAATTCTTTTTCGTCCTGCCGCGCAAGAACCATGTTCCCATGACCTTTGCTTTCACAGTGCATTGGGACAGCTATAAGGGTCTTTGCCCCCCCCCAATGCTTATATTTATTTATGAGAGAAAAAGAGATCACAGTATGATTTTAATTTATTCTAATGGATGCCCTCCTCCCCATCAGGGTTCTTTTAAAACTCTTGCCTGGATCCACTTGCTTTATACAACTCATCGTACAAAATATCTTTTTTAATAACAATATAATGCATAAAATTTCTAACTTCCTCATAATAACAATAACTGCTAACCGCAAAGACAGTGAACTCATGAATCATGTCACTATTACTGTTCATTCAAAATTATTGTTCACGGGCATAGCTGCCACCAGTAATGTATTTTTTCCGTTTTCATTTAAAAAGCGTGTAATATGTGATTTTTATTTTAAAAAATTGTTAAATGTAAATAAAGGGACCCACGTGATACGATTCTATATAGAACAATTTCCGTAGAAATTCAACTTGGAATGTACTATACTACTATTATCCAGAGCGGGACGAAACTTTAACTTTTTAATTTATTATAAATATTAATATTTATAATAAGACTTATACCAATAAGAGTTCCATGCTAATTCAACCGCATATATGGCAAAGCATTTAAAAAGTCGATGCACCAAAAAAACTTTGCGGGTGACTGCATCACCGTCGCAAATTGAATACAGCAATATGTGTTTATACAATAAATGTGTATTCAAGTACTAGAATTTTTTTATGAATATGATTACAAACATTTCACTTACCACCACATAGATCCTCGACCTCTGTTTTTATTTCTACTGATCTCAGCTGGTAACGTGGGCATCGTTACCGCGAGTGCGCCGAGTACCAGCCAAAGCCTCATGTTCATCAGCAACTCGTCACTAACTTGGGATTTATTACTCTCTTTGAATAATTTCACCAAACAGCACTCACAGGTATTTTAAATTTCGAATCAACATTGCGAACTTGCTCCTGCTTCATATACTATACTGCACTAGAAAGTTGCTTCATTCTAAAGACTTAAAACACATTTCGAAACGTAGGCAACGAACAAATCGTTAAGCAGCATTTAAAAATTTTTAAAAGTGGACACAAAAATTCAGATATCTAACTGTAGACTATTTTGCTAACAGCATCACTTTTTCCGCACGACACGACCGTTTCTTGCATTAGAGCTGATGAAACTTTCAGAATGTTAAGTGCAAAGCAGAAAGAACGAGATATTCTTAATCATTAAGCTAAAAGATTTTAATCGTTACTTGAGCACATATATAGAAAAACGGTTCTCTATTCTTAAGACGCCCGTGTCTTACTGTAGTACGTTTGGCCCGTGGCATAGATGTTCACCCTGAGTAAATCGGGGGGAGTGCTTCCCTTGATTAAGCCAAAAAGTAGTGGGAGAAGATATTTGCCAGCCCCCAGATGCTGACCAGAAACCTGTTGCCTCAAATACACGACGATTGCTTATTCACTTAGGCGTCAAGTTTTGGCACAATAAGCCTTGAAACATAATTAATTAAATTAATTTGATCACTGCAAAGCGAGTTTCTTCGAATTTCAATGACTTTCAGTACAAACCGGTCTGTACAACGCACATTGACGATACTCTCAAGTATAGTTCTCGACTATCGACTGCACGCGTCAGTCCGCAGAAAAGTTGATCTCATGAGAGACCCAACCCCCACTAAGGTCCACAAGACCCCCGAGAGAGATCGAAACTTGCTCCGCCTCTTAGTCCAGCCCTCTTCCCCTTATTTTCTCAACCAACTGATTCTCTTGTTACTATTTTCCTTCATTAACTTTTGTCTCTCTGTCTAGTAAAATCTCATGTACAAACTATAAATTTTTCAAAAAAATAACTTCAACATTTAATAACAGTATTTCATATTTTGATATCCATTAAAGTCATTTTGATATCCACTTTGGAATCATCGAGTGTTCGTATATGAGATTTCGCCTTTCTTTGCTTTGGAGGTTGCTATCAAGTTAATTAACGCTTAAAATAATAATGGAACAAACAAATAATTTGTAAATTCTTTCATAATTTTAATGAAGTGTGGTGAGAATTTTCCGAATCCTGAATAGCTGTCTCGCACAAGCTGAAAAATTTCTCAGGTTAACATTTATAAGGATATAGTCAGGGATGGGTAAATGTAACAAACTCGAGGTTTTCTACAAATTGTCGCAAACGTAGCAAATGTCACAAACGTCAAAGAAATGTCATAACCTCACTTTTTGTAGGACATGTGTTGTTATGTTTAGCTCAAATTACTTTTTAAAAGGAAAATACAAATAAGCAATTTATTACATAATCAGAGACTATACTTACGAGAGGAAATAATATATTAGATAGATATTTATCAAAAAATAATCACCAACAGGGTAAAATAATAATGCTAATAAGTAAAATGTTTTTTATTATCTTGAAGATATAACTTTGTAATATTTGATACTTTCCATTTTTTTAATATTAAAGAAAAGTGGGAAGAAGGTTAGGAAAAAGTCAGAGAATTATTTTTATACTTCTTGCTGGACATAGAATTCAAACATAAAATAATAATAAATAAGGTTGCCGGCAAAGAGAAAAATTGAGGTTATGTTTACTTTTGACTGACGTCATAAAATGTAACAAACGTCAGATAGCAAACCAAACGAGTATTATACATCTATATAGGTACATACATAAAAAACCTAAGTAACATACATGAAGTATATATATAGTACTATACGTATACTGCACATCCCTGAGGATAGTGAGAGAATATTCTCGATAGATAATGCAATAATTATGACAAATGAGATTTGGGGAATATTCATGCGAGTCTTTTTAATTTTAAAAATATAGGAAAAATAAAGTGTTATTTTAATAAATGGTGTTACAACAGTACTTAATAAATTTTACCCAAGTTTAGAGCGCTAACGATTTGGTCAAAAATAAGTTATTTCATCTTCCGTGAATCGAGAACAGAGTATCATATATATATTGTTCTTTCAAACTATACAATAATACCCCGGACTTACGCGATATAGGTGGGACCGACCGACGACCGTGTAACTCGAATTCGCGTATATCAGGGTTTAAGTTTTCATACAAAATAAATACAATAACTTAGAATTTAGAAGAAATATGTTTAATAAAATATCAAGTAATAAAACTATTTACATTTTTATGAATAAAAACAACGTAAACAAAAGTAATAAACTATCGATAGTGCATCGATAGTTTTGCAACTGTAGTGAGAGAGTTAATTCGCGCAGCCATAAAAAACCGCGTATCTCCGAATTCGCGTAAAATGGGGTGTAGCGTAAGTCAGGATTTTACATATCAACTTCTCCTTTAACGAGTGTTGCAATAAACTGTCGCTGAGAATTCTTGGCTTATATACAAACTATCATAGCACGACTTTTTGCTGCGTGAGGTTACTGTAAGGATATCTGTAGGGTTTGTGAGGTTACCGTGTAAGCCTGCAGTAAACTTGAGGTCATCTTAAAACTTCCGCCTTACAGTAAGCTTACACAGTAAATTAAGCTAAGGTAAGCTTACACAGTAAGGTCGTGGTAAGTTTACATGGTAAGGATGTGGTAAGCTTACACGGTAAGGTTGTTGTAAGCTTCCCGTAAGGTTACTGTAAGGTTGCTGTAAGGTTACTGTTAATATAAAGTAATATGAAAATATATTAAAAATAATTATATTATAATATATATTATACTATAAATTTTTTTGCATAAAAAATTACACGGAAAAAAAGAAAAAGTAATTTTTACTACTTTCATAGTAAAATTGGACCTGTCCGAAGTTTCTGCGCATCTCTGGCAACTTTTACTCAAAAAATAGTAAAATTTACTATTTTTGTAATAATTTTTACTATTTCTGGAGTAAATTTTACTATTTCTGGAGCAAATTTTACTATTTTTGGAGTAAAAGTTGCCATAGATGCGCAGAAACTTCGGACAGATCCCATTTTACTATGAAAGTAGTAAAAATTACTTTTTCTTTTTTTCTGTGTATATATTTGGTAAAGTACTTTATGAACCCCAATAGGGTTTGTCAAATAAAAGTTACTGCGCAGCCGTATGTGCCATAGAAAACTACTGCGCATAAATATTAATAAATTTTATTTATTAACAAAATTCTATGTTTACAGTAACCTTACATCAACCTTATAGTATAACCTTAAAGGAAGCTTACAACTACCTTACCATGTAAGCTTACCACAATCTTACCATGTAAACTTACCACGACCTTACTGTGTAAGCTTACTGTAAGGCGGAAGTTTTAAGATGACCTCAAGTTTACTGCAGGCTTACACGGTAACTTTACAAACCCTACATAGATATCGTTACAGTAACCTCCCAGCAAGAAGTCGTGCTATATATGGGTATATATTCAATATATATGTTTGTAAAAAAACGTAATCACAATTAAACGCGAATTTTGTGTAATATTCACAGAAAAAACCTGAACTCAAAATGAGTAGAATTCACGCTACTCATTTTGACTCGCATGATTAAACCCCAAATTTCATTTGATATAAATCTTATAGACATAAATTTCATTTGACATAAAGTTCATTTAATATAAATATCATTTTTCATAAAAAATGCTTATAGTCTGTCCTTTTCCCACACATATAGAAGCTTATATGTATAGACATAAGGATAGCCAATGCTATTTTTATGACAAACGAGTTTTATGTCAAATGAATTTTATATCAAATAAGATTTATATCAAATGAATTTTATGTCAAATGAAATTTATATATCAAATAAAATTTATGTCAAATGGAATTTATGTTTTATACTTATGTGAATTGTGTGTCAAATGAGAATTATGTCAAATGAAATTTATGCCAATAAGTGACTATTGTGTCAAATAAAAGTTATGCCATATACAATTATGTTAATTTAAAATTAAGTGAAGTGAGTTTTATGTCAAATGATGTTCATGCGAGTCCTCATTTTGATGTGCAGCAAAAATGAGTCAGGTTGGTTGCGCCACTATCTATGTCGTATTAGCATTGACTCATTTTAAAAATTTAATATGCAGCAAAAATGAGACTAGTTTTTTTTCTGTGTTGCTTTATAATTCTTTCTCTCTCTATTTTGGCTTTTGTTCCTGTTTTCTGAGTCGTTCGTTCACTACGCGAATTCGAATAACGCGCAAAAGACTCATCTCATATACAGGGTGTCCCAGTCGAGGGTGTACATATTAAAGGGACATATTCTTCAGAAAAAAATAAGACGAAAAGTCCTTTACAGTTTTTTAAAATTTTTTATAGTTTTTGCGTAAATTGCAATTGAAAATTTAAAAATTACGCGTTGTGATTGGCCGTGCAAGCTCAGTGGGCCGGTAGGCGGGGCGACTTGAACAGAACATTTCCAAAATTTGCAGGCGTAGGCGTTTACTAAGTAAGAAAGTTAGGTAGTTACTTTAACATTATAAAATGGTTATTAATTTATTACGTACGCTAAAGTGTAAATTTATTATTTTATTTTAACCCGATGCATCACAGCGCTGATGGTAAACGCCCACGCCTGCAAATTTTGGAAATGTTCTGTTCAAGTCGCCCCGCCTACCGGCCCACTGAGCTTGCACGGCCAATCACAACGCGTAATTTTTAAATTTTCAATTGCAATTTACGCAAAAACTATAAAAAATTTTAAAAAACTGTAAAGGACTTTTCGTCTTATTTTTTTCTGAAGAATATGTCCCTTTAATATGTACACCCTCGACTGGGACACCCTGTATAGTTGAAAAAAGATGACACTCGGGTACTCTCCTGCAGGAGAGTACCCGAGTGTATTAAAGTTCGCCTATCTACACGCGGATTCACCTATATAAAATAATGTGGAGACCGTAATCTAAAAATAACGTATACGAGGTGCGATCAAAAAAAGAAAATCTTTATTTTTGACTATTTTAGAATTTTTATTTTTAAAAAAAATTAAAATTTTTAAAAATCCATGCTAGAGATTCTATTGAATCTTTAAAAAGGCATTTAAAAAATTGGCGATGAAATATATTCAAAATTGCGAAAGCATATATAATTTCATTTTGAAGTAGAATCTTATAACTTTTTTAAAATGTATTCTCTGAAATAGTGTAAAATTAAGACTTTATTTTTTTGACCACCTTGTTGTTTTTAGGACCAAACTAATGCAATAAAATAAATTTAACATCGTGTAATCATTGAAATTTAAAGGGATCGAAATATTTTATGACAATTTAAAAAATGATATATAATTTTTCCCTTAATTAAAATCGTAATATTTTCAATTTTTTAATATCTAGCGAAAAAACTAATTTAGTCTAAATGCGATGCACATTTTAAAGCGATTGTAATTTCCATAGTTTAATGAATACACGTAATTAACGCAAAAATATCAGCATGAAATTTAAGACTTGTACTTCTTATATAGATACTGGTGCAACAAACAATTAGTTGACACTAATTTAAACACGTGGTTTATGAAAGGAAAATGTAGGAGGGCCGTAAACAAGTCCCGCCTACAAGGACCCTCTCCAGTTTAACATCGTCGAGCAAGAATCTTTTGTTCATACTCTCAACATATTCGACCTGCATTCTTGTAAACTATACACACATATATATATATATATATATATATATATATATATATATA